TGGGAAAATTCTACTACCAGTCCTTCATCACCTTACACGAAATAGGGTGAATACATCTCATTACACTCCTGAAGAAGCCGAAGTCGGTAAGTTTATCGAGGCCGTAAATACTCTCGAATTCTTTGAAGTCATTGAGGATGATGAGGTTGTCAGGGTCTTCCAGGCTGGTAAAGTTGCAGAAATCGCCGAGTTTCTCAAGGTAACCGAGGCCGAAAGGGTTGTAGAGGCAGCTGACGTCGACGAAGATATCGAGTCTTTTGATGCCAACGAGGTCGTTGTTACTTTTGAATTCGTTACAGCCATTGCGGTTGCTGAGGACGCAAGAGTCATCAAGGATAATGATCTGACGGAAACAGTCGAGTCCAATTAGTTCAACGAGGTCGCTGTTGCTGCCGAATTCTTAAATGACTTTGAGGCTATCGAGGTCACAAGAGTCATCGAGGCCGCTGACGTTCCGGAAGTCGTCCAGCCTATCGAGGTCATCGAGGTCGTCAAGGCTGTCTAGACCACTGATGTCGCCGTACTATTCGTGTCATTTGGGGTTACCGAGGTCGCAATATGTTTGAGTCCGTTGCTATTGCCGAAGCCCAGATTAATGAATTCGTTATTTACGTCGTGGTAGCTAATTCCATCTGGATCTTCAGGAAGCTCATGTCACCGAGCTTGTCCAGAGCGTTCACCGTCATCAAACGAGCGCCACGGCTCCTTAAAAAAGGGAAGGATGTCGGCTCACAGTCAACTCTTCCGACGGATATGAATTTCTGGCCCAATGTTGTTTATGCGAGAGTTCTGTATAATTTGATAATGAGCCACGACTGGCGTTATTCGGGATTCTCATTAGACTTCGGTCGTCAGAGTATAGGGCAAGCCTTCATTTTATGCAATCCTTTCCTATCCCGGCTTCTGTAAAATGTGCGTGAAGGTTTGGCGACCAATCGACTGGACACCTCCTTCACCGAAAACAAAGTCTAACGTTAACTAAAAAAACCACTCTATGCCACACAATTCCCCATGTTTCGACAGTCTCGACATAATGTAGGAATGGACCGGCGAGCTTCCAGGACTCGATACCCTGATCCATAAAGATCTGTCAGTTGGCATGACTAAAGAAAGCTCACTACGTCTCACCTGAGAGCCATGCAAGACCTGTTGTTGTTGCTGATTCCCATTTCCCTCCAGTCAGTTGATGTTACTGACACGTTCAGGCTGAAGTAATCCACGCGAAGGCCTTATTTGATTCGTGCGAAGCCTGCTTAACTGTCTTCGTCTCATGTACCAAGTGACAGACTTTCCTGGAGCCAGTTACCGAATGACAAGAACTAAACATCACATTCCCGCATGCCATAGTTACGCTGGACATATAAAACTTTTAAGCACATAGTGGTTTGATTAGTGCAGACAATATGAGGGAGATTTTCCCGAGAACAGGACTAAGCAAAATATCGCAAAAATGCCAAACGACTCTAGTCCAAGAGGAATCCGCCACCATCTTCCGGTGAGATCGACCTACGAGGCAGCTTAGCACGGATTCATTAGAGACGGAATTGGATTTAAACAATGAGCTTTTGTCTGTTATTCAACACTAAAGATCTCATTAGTCCTGGAGTTCGTAACTCCAAAACACATTAAGTAAAGAAAACTGACTGGTTGTACTTAACATGTTTTACATGTTCATATCAACATCAAATATAAATGAAATTTAGTGAAAATTTCTACGCATACTGGCAGCGAATAGGACTGATGAAGAGCTATTAAATAATGTTTAGATTTTAGTGTATGTATATGTGTGTATAAGTTAGGATGCGAAACGACATTCATAACTTTGAGTTATTAGAACAGAACGTAACTTCTGTTATCTAGGATTGATGATCCAACTAAAAAGCATAACTGATTGAAGATGTAAAGACCAAGATGGTGTGACCTTTTGTGTGGTCTCAGTCTCCCATCGTTGTATAGAGCTTCTTTGACCTTGTTTTCACAATATGGTCATATT